GAATACAGATAGTCATCATTTTATACATGAAGATTACCCTAAGTAAATAGAAGTCTACTAAACAAAACATGTTTGCAAGAACATACATTGAAAATTCCTAACAAAACTAAAGTGTCGCCCAAATCAATCTTCGAGGTCAGACTCAAGCGACTCAATGTCCACTTGCTCGTATGGAATCGGCATGGCCAATGTCATATCAGTAGCAGTAAGGGCTTTGAGCCAGCCGTGTTTGAATCTGCCCTTGGGCTAATATAAAGACTTTTCTTTGGGCTAACCTTACAAAATTATAAAGGGGCACGTACCAATATCGCTGACTGAGCGGCTAAAGCGATGGCCAACAGATCGGGCTCAGCCCTAAAAGCCGCTCTGTCAACCGGAAGAGAAATGGAAGACGCCAAGTTCAAGGCCACGGCTGGGTCTCTTATAGCCGATGCATCAGACGCAACCAGCGTGTTCCTGATCCTTGGTTGTACCGTAAACGGCACGACCAAGTCAGATTCATCTATGCATGGCCGTTTATCAATTGACTCTTCCGAATAGTCGGCCCCGTGCTCCGCCGGGCGTCTTTTCCCCCTTTGCTCCGACAGTTGACCCTCATGTTGATCAGCAACAGGTTCTGTTTCTGCCACTTCGGTCTCAACCACCTCAACAGGAGCAGGTAGAGGAGTTTCTTCCCTAGCATCGGGTGAAGGGGGTGGAGGTTGGTTTCGCTCGGCTTCGACTCTCTTACGCACGACTATCCTCTCGGCGTTTTTCCGTCTGGCCAACTGAGTTAAGGATTCACTAGCCATGTTATCAGAATACGAGTCGGGTAGGTCACCCAAGTCGGTAAAAATATCCTCGAAGGGCACGTCTACTCGGTAGGAAGTGGATAGAGGATTGAGGTCGACTTCTTCAAAAGCAAAATTTAATGTCGCGTCAACCTCCTCTGGTACATCGGATCCGTCCAAAGGTGGCTGATTCGGCTCCTCTTTGACTTCTTCGGCAACTTGTTCGGCCGCCGGCTGTAAGTCTGATTCTTCGAAACCGATCTGCCTAAGATTCTTGAAACTCGGAAAAATTAGTGCCGTAAGGTGTTGATCGCACCTAGGAATCGGGATATGTTCTGCCGCCGAAAAGGTGGTATAGGTCGGCTTGTATCGAAGAGGAATGTAGGCCACCCTCCCTTGTTTCTGGAGATTCGGATGACCAACGAACTGAAGTACCGTTCTAATCTGTGCAAGTACGGTGTCGTCGGCCGAAACTAGACCTTTCTTCAAGTTGTTTCTTGCATAATTAAAACGGTAAATACACGGAATTTGAATAGAAAATATTTAGTAAAAATTCATGGGGGGTTAAACGGCCACTTGGTTCACTCCTTCGCCAGGGCACTGGATCTTGGCAATTTCGCCCTCGCCGAATTCCCAATTTCCACGAACCACGACCATAACATCGTCAACTCGCTTGCCAGAGCTGGCAAGCATAGTGACCAAATGATGGTCGGTATCCTTGGCCTGAGAAAGTAGCACCGCTGCCGTCCAGAGGATTTGGCCAAGGCATAACAATACCGAATGGCAGGGACTCCAAGGTTAGGCCAAAGGCGCCGGTTTAGCTCTATAATACCCATTATTATTCGGAAAAAGTTCACGTTTGGCTAAGAAGGGATTAAACTCCAATAACGAATGACAGCCCTAAAAGTGGATGAAGGGGAAAACGGACCCCCCCTCAACAATCGACAAGAGAGGAAAGACGATTGTACTTTCATCAGTCCTCTATGTGTCAATTACGTTCTCTGCAAAGAGTGACAGATGAACGTCGTTAGGAATGGAGAAATGACGACGGAAACTAGAGACACGCTCTGCCGAAAGAAAGGCTCTCTGATGTTTTGCCATCGTAGAAGGAAAAATGGGTACTCTAAACAGTAAACAAACAAGGAAAATGAGTTGAAATGGAAGAGAGACGAGCTTACAAGAAATGAAGGCAATGAGGAACGGAAAGAAGTTGTAGAGGGCGTGAAGCGAGAAAGGCGAATAGACAGCTAATGCGAAGCCTTGTGCATTCGAAAAAGCATACAAACGAAGAGACAACACGGTTTCAAATCGTATTAAATGAATGAAGCGTACGAAGGGGCGGGAAATTGCAATCATGCCTAAAAAGAGTAGGCAATTTGACGCTCGCATTGGAAAAAGGGAAACCGCCGTATTTTTTGACCCTCTAAAGTCCAAAACCAAACATGCCGACTAACTAACGTTAATGGAATGTTTGGAGGGCAATTGTGGGGGCCAAATAAATTATTACATAGGATGGCTGAATATACTAAAGAAGGAAATTAGATCGTGTACAATACGGCTCCAGCCCCGAGGGGTAAAGGCCGAATATCCAGTCGACCTCTATCAGTTGTAAATAGGGCCGAATATGAAGACATAGCCGGGTGAGCGATTGTTTATTGAATACAAGGTGGGTCCAACGATCAACATCAAAGACGACTATAAATAAGAGGAGCATCAACCAAAAGAGGTATGTGAGAACTAGCTTGCTTAACTTAAGATACAAGCAATCGAGAGAGTATACACTGACTTATCCGTCGGAGTGTTAATTCCGGCACCCTCGACCGAAGTGTTCATTCCTTTTTAGGATATTAGCTGAGGATCTCGAATGTCTCATTGGATCCCAATAGTATTTCTGAACTACTCCCCCACAGTGTATGTTTCAATTCAATATGGTTTAAATTTTAAAAATTTTAATTAATTAATTATGAGATAATTATAATTAATTAATTATGAGATAATTATAATTAATTAATTAATTAATATGATAATTTTAAAATAATTAATTACTAAATTTTTAATTAATTAATTATGAGATAATTATGATAATTGTAGTGTTGTGCATGTTTTAATTCAATATGTTTCAATGCCACTCTTATTGCTCCTTAATACAAAAATTATGAGATAATTATGATAATTTCAAATTTGTATTTAAAACTTATAAATTATGAGATATATTATTATAATTTTAAATTTATATTGTGTCGTTTTTAAATTTAAATTAATAGATTGTTTTCATATTTAGTGACAATTTAAATTTTAATAAAATAAAATGTAAAAGTTTTAATTAATTAATTTTTGTGTAAGCTGGTTGGTCTTTTGATGTAACTGATTAAGCTAAACAGTTTTTGGTTTGAATGATTTGCTGGTTTAACTGTGATTTTAGTGGTTTTATATGTTACAATGATTCTTTCTTACTCATTAAATTTTTAAATTTTTTTTTAATTATTTCCCTTTCAAAAACCAATATGATAATTTTTTAAATTCATTTATTTTTATTCTAAAATAATGAAGTATTAGAACTATGTCATTTTTTTTTATAATAAAACATAATTTTAATTATTAATCGTCAATACAACAATTTTAATTTATCTATACTATTTGGGTATTTCATAAGTTACTATTTTAGTGGGCTATTTTAGACATTGTTTGTCATAACTTAAAAAAGTCAAAAAGTCCAAAAATTAAAAAATCATTATTTTATTTAGGTCACATTATCTTATTTAAGTCACATTACCTCTCTACTACATCACATCAAATTCAACTCATACCCAACCCATATTTTCTAAAAAGTCAAAAAGTGCACTTATTTAGATCATTAGTAGGCTAAAATTTTTGTGTTTGAGAAGATGATTGGATTTTTTTATAGTTAGATGTAATGTTTGTGAGAGAAAAAATAAAATGATTATGAGTTTGATGTGACATTTTATCTTATTGATTATTTTAACTTATTTTTTCTTTTAGTGTTATTTTAGCCAAAAAAGCTAAAAAAAACTTCTTCCCCAACACCCCGTATATATTATAGTAATGGAACATTTGAAACAAAATTCTTAAATTTATATATATAATTTTATTTACGAGAGACAAAATATAAAAAAATTAAATATAATTATCATATTTTTAATAAATAATTTATTATTTTATTCCGTATATAACACGAGTGATATGTTAGTACGTAATAATAAAAAAGCAATAAGTGAGAATTTAATTTTTTTTGTTAGTGATAAAAAAAAATAACTGATCTCCAGTTGAGAGTTCAAATGGGTTCGACAATTAAAATCTCTTATCAGTAAAAGATTCAACTAGACTAAACAGATAACTCTTACTGATAAAGGCTTGGTTTGGGAAGTGGGTTGGCTTTTTAGTTTTTTGATCTTTTTGACTAATTTAGCTTGGGCTAAAAAGCTTGGTTTGTGAAGGACTTTTTGATTTTTTGGCTTTTTTTACTTTTTTTGTGAGAGAAGAGTGTAATAATTATGGGTTGGATGTGATGTTTGTTTTTTGTGGCTAAAATAGCCTATTTTGTCTTTTGTGACTAAAATAGCCAAAAAAAACCCCAACCCAACTTGCCAAACGGAGCCAAAAGACCTCAACTGTCTTGTTGAAAGTGTAGTTGAATTTTGAACCGGAGATACGCTATTTCCTAAAAAAAACAATTGCTAGTATAGGCTCCGTTTGGCAAGAGCTAAACGGGACTTTTTTGGCTATTTTAGTTACAAAAGACAAAATAAGTTATTTTAGCCACAAAAAATAAAATATCACATCCAACCCATAATCATTACATTCTTCTCTCACAAAAAAAACCAAAAAAGTTAAAAAATCAAAAAGTCCTTTCCAAACCAAATTTTTTAACCCAGGCTAAAAAAGTCAAAAAATTTAAAAAGCCAAAAAATCAATCCACTTCCCAAACGGAGGCATATATAAATTGGTTTAAAAAATAAAATGGATATTAATGGCAGAGTTGCTTAATAAGTGGACTTCTAGTTATTATCTCAAGAAAAGTTTCACTGGGTTGCATGCAGATTGCAGATCTCCGCGCGAAAAGGGATCCCCACCGACCGATTTTAATGAAGCAAATGGCGCAAGACCCGCTATCTCTGATTTCCTTCATTTTTTTTTGGGTGATTGCATGTGATCACTGCCGTGTGCCAGCTCTCTCTCACTCTCTCAATCTGCTTATAACAGTTGGTGATTCGCTTTGCCTTCCTCTCAAACTCTTCTGGTATACAACACAACAGTCTCAGGAGAAGAAGAAAATAGAAACAAAAAACAATGGATAGAATGGTACTAGTGTTGTTAGCAGTGTGTGTGATCCCAGCGCTTGCCACCGCCAACTACCTTGGCAACGGAAAACCATTCACAGTGAGGGGCCGCGTCTACTGCGACACTTGCCGCTTCGGATTTGAGACCAGTCAATCCCCCGGCATCGTTGGTACCCGCCTTCCCTCCCACTCACTTTTTATTTTTTATTTTATGGTTAAACTATCAATTTCATTCATTTACTTAGGCCTCGTTTGGGAACAGGCTAATTTAGTAACTTTTTGGCTATTTGGCTAAAAAGGTAGGTAAATTTATAATAATAAACTTTGTACTAACTTCCGGTTCGCTGTGCACACCGTATACAATTTAATAATAAAATTATGTAAGTTAAATATAAATTTACGTAAATTTATGAAAATTTAAAATTTATGTAAATGTATATAATTTTGTAGCAGAGTTACCATATGGTGCGCCGGCTAATTTTTCTAACTTTGTAATATCAATTCACCTAAGTCTAACTAAAAATGATTGTACAAGTTAATTAATGTTAAAACTTTAGAGTTAATTACTTAAAAGTTTTATTTGCAAATGTTATGATAGTCTAAATTCTATTTAAGATCTTTTGAATCGATAAGTCTTATTTAGTAAAATTAAATATATTATCAGTTTTTTTCAATTTTAAAAACTAAGAATATTATCAATTTTACATAGTAATGTTCCAAATAATTATTTCATCAACTAAGAAAAAAAAAACAGAGCATGAAATTAAACATTTTTGCCCTTCTATTTATTGGTTTAGTTCAACTATCTAATAAAATCGAGAACATTATCAGTTTTTTCTAATTTTAAAACTGAAAATATTATCAATTTTTTCATTTTTAAAGTTTTATTTTTTTAAAAGTTTTGCAAATTAATGTTCCATCATCATGCTCCTTTATAGATACAAAATTTTCAGTTTTGCATAAAAAAATAATTTAATTTTTTTCAATATATATATATATTGTACATAATTTTCTTTTTAGTTTTTTCAATTTTAAAGTTAATGTTTTAAAGTTTTGAAAATCAAAATAAATGTCAAATCATCATATTTTTTTATAGATAATCATAAATTATGAATAATCATTGTTTGAAGGACAATTCAGACCATTAAAAATTTAATATAACTTAAATGTCTACAAATTTTAGTTGAGATTTAACGAAATAAAAGTTTATAAATTAAAATTTATATGTATAAATGTCCAAAAACTTTGTTTAGTTGTTTGAGTTTGACATTTTAAATGGGTTTTTAAATTTTTGAAAAATTTAAAATTTTAATATATTTGAAAAGTTAAAATTATATAGGGCAAATTACATATACCCCTTGAGGTTTGGCTAAATTACAAATATCCCTGAGGTTTGAGAAATTACAAATTCCCCCCTGAATGTTATATTTGCATAACAAATTAGGGGGTAATCTGTTATGAAATATAAACGTCAGGGGATAAATTGTTATGAAAATACAAACCTCAGGGGACGGGATGTAATTTTTGAAACCTCAGGGGTATCTGTAATTTAGCCAAATCTCAAGAAAGGTATATGTAATTTGCCCCCTTTTTTTTTTTATAGATAATCATAAATGATGAACAATCATTATTTGGCGACTAAAATGGGACCTTTGGCGACTAAAAATTTAGTCGCCAAAGGTGTTTTTTTTGGTAGTGATTACATATACCCCTTGAGGTTTGGCTAAATTACAAATACCCCTGAGGTTTGAGAAATTACAAATTCCCCCCTGAATGTTATATTTGCATAACAAATTAGGGGGTAATCTGTTATGAAATTAAACGTCAGGGGATAAATTGTTATGAAAATACAAACCTCAGGGGCGGGATGTAATTTTTGAAACCTCAGGGGTATCTGTAATTTAGCCAAATCTCAAGAAAGGTATATGTAATTTGCCCAATTATATATGCTAAACGGGACTTTTTTGGCTATTTTAGTCACAAAAGACAAAATAAATTATTTTATTTATTTTTATTATTTTTTTTTGGTTGGATGGGTGGGTGGGGAGAAATAACGGTATAAATGAATAATAAAACAATTATAAATCGATGAAAAAATTTATATATTTTAATAATTAAAATATTATATTTTTTATAATTTTATAAATAAATAAAAAACTTACTGCCACGATCGTGCAGTTATTTCCCCAAAATTTTCAGCCCATTACAAAAAAATGTGACCATTCTTTGTGATGCTGCGATTATTAGTATGGACTAGGCTTGGAAGCAGAATGGTTTCTCTATCATGTTGTTATGTCGGTGTTATGTTACTATTACGAGTAATGTTAGAGATTTCAAATATTTTATTAAAAGTTTTATTAAATGTTTTATATGGGTGTAGAACCCACACAATGTGAGTTTCATGTAGGTCTCACACTCATGTGAGATATTTAGTAAAACTTTTGGTAGAATTTTTTGGCCCTCTAGTATTTTTGTATTATTATTTATCTCACCTATTATACAAATTATAAATACCCATTAAAATCATGTCGCATCATCTGTTAATATATTAATTAGTACATTAATTAATATATCTAACATTATTTATTTTAGACTCTGTTTGATTTTAATGTTGCACGTTGCAAATTAATCTTGCCATACTTTCATCACTCCAAACACAGATCTGAGATTACAATGTGCTTGTTTGGCAGAAATTATTTACAGCTTATTTCAGTTTTCAGCTTAATTTAAGCTATTTTGATGTATTTAGTTTAGCTTATAGCTTATAGCTCTGTGGAAGTCAGAAATCAGCTTATTCTTTGAGTGGAGCAGGAGATGCTTTAAGAATAAGCTAGAATCCAGCTTAAACTGAAAGTTATAAGTTATAAGCTGTTTAGACATAAATTATAAGTACTTTCCCATAACCCTACCAAACACGACTAATGCCTCTCTATTCACTATAGAGTGTTTGTTACCGCCAACGTAGTACGAATATTTTAAAAAGGAGATCCATCTTTATTGGGAATCGTTGCTCTTTGAATATTTGTGGATACATATTGAATATTTATGAAAAGCATAGGATTTTTTTTAATTAATTTTTCAAAATTTCAGAGTATCAAATATTTAATTTTAAAATATTAGATATTTCAAGTCACGTATTTATACTTTTACAAAATTAAAATTGTAACATTTATTTCATAACATTATAATTATAATATAATATAATATAATTATAAGGATAAATACAAGAATATTTTTTTAATATTTTGTTTAGTTTTTTGATAAGTAAATGGTGCGTTAAAGGAATAGAATTTGTTAAAATTGATATATCCTTATTGTTTGGTGCATGTCGTTTATAATTATATAAAAAGTAAGGATAAAAGAATATAACAATAATTAAATTAAATATCAATAAATAAATAAACTTGAATATAATATTTTTACTAGTGCTAAAGGAAAGAGCACAATGACAAGTTATGGATTATTCTATTATTGTAATATAAACATACTAAATTTGATATTGAAATAAAATATTTGCTAAATCTATTGAAAAACTTAAATTAATACCTAATTGTTAAAAGTTTGTATTTTGCATCATAAATTACAATGCGATTTCTCAAATTCTTAGTAATAATTTTAAAATATATATATATATATTTTACAACATATCCTAACTGTGCCGGTATCTTATTTTTTTAGATTTTGTCCTATAACCGTATCCGTATTATATCATACCCGTATCTCGTATCCGTATTCATACTTCCTAGGTTACAGCTCAAATGACTTGCTCATAATTAATTTTATTTTGGGAGTCTGTGACAAATTATTTGATGTAACTTTTGTTTACAATTTATTAGGCAGAAATAATTTAAATGAGCCGAAAAAAATTATTTATTTGAAAGCTGGAGTGGTGCTTTTAGATTTTATTTTGTAATTATTAACTTTTTGTTCATAATAAGTTGCACCAAATAACATGTCTTAATTAAGTTTGGGACCAGGAGTCTCTGTTTTAACTTGTTCTCAATGAACATGGTGTCATGAAAATTTTGGATTGCATTTGGTTTAGTTTTAGAATTGTGATTCTCTTTTTACAATTGTGAGTCAGAGTTTTGAGAAATTGAAAACTTGTTTGGTAATGAGTTTTGAAAAGTATTTTGAAAAGAATTTTAAATTTTGAAAAGAGCAGATTGGGTTTGCCCGGTCATCTGCCCAGACATCCTCCAGGACATCTGGCTAGTTGCCCGGCTGGGTGACCGAAATAGTGCAATATTTTATTTATTTATTTATTTTTTTTGCGATTGCAACATGTTATTTGAAAAAAAAAAATTATATTTGTTTTAGATATTTTTTAAATATAGAAATTAATTTTTTTAGATTTTTTATAAAAATAATTTAACAATCCCGTCACTAACTATTTTTATTACTATATCATCAAAAGTATTTTGAAAAGAATTTTGAGTTTTGAATTTTGAGTTGTGTATCTGATTATGAATTTTGAAATTAATTTTTAAATTGAGTTTTGAATAATTTTGAGTTGTGTATTTGGTTATAAATTTTGAAAAGTAATTTAAAAAAATTACCTTTGAAATTATGATTCCAAAGACAAACCAAACGAAGCCCAAAATATAAGAATCTCAACTCTGGATGTAACTAGACTCACTACTTATTCATATGTCGAATGAAGTATTCACAGCTACAATGACATATCAATTGGTAAGATTAGACAATAGAATTAGATGGTTATTACACAGTCCATGGGAGCTAAGACATGTCATCATTTGACTAAGTAGGGGTTTCACTCTAAATATGGCATCACATCATACCGCTGTATGGCCGCACTTTCTTTGTTCTAACCCATCTCATAGTTGAATTTGATTAAAATCAAACCAATTTTGGAAGCGCTTTATTCTTTCAATAATGACTTGGACTCTTTTTTTTTCCATCCCCTGACCCCTCTTCACTTGATTGGCCACTTTTTTTTCTTTTTTTTTTTTTTTTTTTTTCCTCGAATCACCACTCGCCACGTGTGTGTAGGGTGGTGGGGTGGTGATTGGAGGGAGTCTCAATCATCACCTTTATTCTTTTTGCTTCTCATATCTTGTTCCATCATGGGCAAACATATTACTCAAAACCATAACCATTTGATAATTTTTACTTTTTTGGGAGCTAGGTGCTAGAGTTAGAATCGATTGCAAGGACAAAGACTCTATGCAGGTTGAGTACAGCATTGGGGCAGTGACTGACAATAATGGAGAATATAGCATAATAGTGAGCGGCGACTTTGGGGATGATATTTGTGATGCAGTGCTGGTTAGTAGCCCGCAACCCGACTGTAATGAGGCAGGCCCAGGACGCAGTCGCTCACGTCTGACCCTCACCCGCTACAATGGCGTCGTCACTGACACTTGCTTCGCAAATGCCATGGGATACTTGAGGAAGGAGCCCATGTCTGACTGCGCCGAGCTATTCCAGAAATACAAGGACCCTGAAGATGATTCTTGGAATAGTCGTTCTTAATCTCTGTCTGTCAATTATATGAGATATTATATATATAGGTTTGAGTTTGGATAGTAATGCTTCTTTTGGTCTCTCTAAATTTATCTGTTGCAATTTTTTTTTTTTTAATTTGGATTGAGGCTATGTTTCTGAGTTGGTGGGACTGTTTCATAATGTAGTCACTTAATTGTGGCTTTCAAACCTAAGTTGTTGTAAGCCATCTTCATCATTATTCTAGCTACTGTTACTTTAATTATGTATTTTCTTATGAGACCCAAGTTTTCAATTTTAACAGGTACGAGTAGCCTACTGAATAAAATGTCATATACACCAAAATAATTATCTGATTTAATTACAAAAAATAATTATAAAAAAGACATTAAATTTATCGGGAGTGTAATCCACACAACATATCAATTTGGGACACATCACTCTATGCATATTGTGTGCGAAAAATCAAACATGAGAAGAGCTTTTTTGTGTTGTTTTACGGCATTTAAGTTTGGTATTTCTCTATATTTTTTTTATTTTTTATTTTTTCTTTCAACTCACTAGGAGAATATGTATAACTTTACAAATATCAAAACAATTACATCAGCTTGAACAATAGCTATTTGAGTAAACCCAACAATACAAACCCACATACAATCCCAATGAACACTATCCAAGACTCAACTATTTAATTACAAAAATGTTATGGATCACTCATATCAACTCATAATTTACTTTGGATGTATTTATTTGGTGAGTCATGATTGACACCCCCTCCAATCACTACCCTCACCACCCCACACACACGTGGCGGGTGGTGATTGAAGGAGAAAGAAAAAAAGAAAAAAAGAGAAAGAAAAACTGACCAATCATTTTAAGAGGGGGTCAAAGGGGGTGGGAGGGAAAGGGGGTCCGGAACATTATTGTTATTTGGTGAAAATATAATTAATGAAATGTAGAATTTATGAGTAAAATGATTTTAAACTATTAATTTTTTTTTTCTGGATAAATTCTGGATGAAAAATACTATATAAAATTAATACAAAAAACTCTACAAGAATGACATGATAATGTCATTATTGTAATTAAATGTATTTTTAATGGAATATTGTTTTAAAATGAATGGTTCATAATGAGCCACATCATTATGTATGAAAATTATATATAAATTTTTTATTTATTTAATATTACTCATAAAAGGTTTAAATTTGTAGTGTTATTGATTTAATTATGCAAGCTTGTTAGTATTAATTAGTTTTACTAATGGGCTTATCATAGTGCTTCCTATTAAAGGCCGAGGGCATTGAACCCTATCCTACTTGGCCAATGAACAAGTTTTGGGTAATGAGTCTAGCACTATTAGTTGGATTCGGACAAATATGGAAGCACCATGTTTGTGTTATACCCACAATGGTGTGTGTAAATTAAATGTATAAATTAAATAAATAACAAAATAAAATAATTTAAAAAATAATTATATAAATTAAATTCTGAATTAAACACTTACAAATATTAAAGTCGAGGCATGTGTTAGACACAATCTCCTTAAAATTAATTTCGCCCTCGCTCCGATGCTTCGAGGTTTAACTAGCGTCTACTTCCCAGGATGTAACGACTAACGCTTGAATTTGAAGCACTACAAAAATAAGTCTGGCGAACCAAATTATGTTGTAACTCTTTCTCTTTCTTTTTCTAAAAATAAATGCAGAAACCGATGCAGTAGTGCAGGAGGACGAACTGAAGAAGAAAGGGAAGAAGTTTGAAATATTTCCGATGGAAATGAATGCTGGATGACCAACTATTTATAGGAGAAATGGTGGTTATTCGAACAAGTACCAAACAGATAGAAACCTGTTTGGACAGATTCAATACGTTTTGGATAGATTTGGTTGGAATTCAATAGGTATGAACTTGTTTTGAACCCTTTGAACCTGTTCGGGTGGATCTGAACCTGTTAAGAATCTGTTTGGGTGAAGGAAAAATTCTGAACCAATTTATTTTGAATTTTGAAAACGAAATGAAAAATAAATAAATAAATTACCAATGTTTTTTTGCCCAAAAAGATAAGTATTTGGTCGGACAAGTCCAACCCAACCTCACACCAACACCCAAGCCCAAGCCCAGCCCACCCTAGCCCATCCCGCCCGACCGGACGGACGGCGACGGCGGCACGCGTATGGTTTTTGTTTTGGGTCCAATGGGTATTCACTCATAACCTCACTCTTCCACAAACTTAGATACCCATTGAAGCCCATCCCAAGTATCCCAAGCTAAGGTATATAAACCCAAATAAATCCTTAAGCTTTTCTAATGTGGGACAAGCACATTTAACAAATGTATAAGAAACCCACTGTACGGGGAGCAAATATTCCGGCGTGCCCGTATTCCTTTCTTCCGAGCTCCGTCGATATCCGATCACCTGCGAGCAAATAACGGTGAGCTACCAGGCGGTGTGTGGCCGGAAACACCCTCCGACGGTCAAATTAGCACACACCTTAGAGGGAATAGAGAGAAGGGAGAGAGTGTTTGAGTGTAAGAAATTCCTTACAGAGTGTTCGTCCCTTGCGTATAGGGGGCGCAGACATGTTTATATACCTTCTGAGCCCATATCCACTCCCTGTCATCTCCTGACACGTGGCTCTGCTATCCCATCTGTCAGCATAAACCATGCCATTCATCACCTGCTCTCAACTGCCTGTCAGCACAGCTGGAGCTCGGCAGCCGAGCTGCCCTACCTCGGTCGTACCATGCTTCATACCTTAAGCGCCTAACCGGATAAACAAACGGAGGACCGGGCTAAGCGGCATCCCGGCCGAGCGTAGCCCGGATACTTACTTCGATCGGCCTTCCTGCCGACCATACAGTCTCCTCGGCTGACCACGCCTTTCCGGGCACCGGCCACTCAACTTCCTCGGTTGTCCATGCCTTCCTGGGCGCCGGTCACTCTGTCAATCCGGCTTTGGCCATCCTCGGACCGGGCACCCTGGTCCGACCGTGCACTGCCTTACCGAGCAGTTTCTATCCGGTCCAGGGTGACACTCAGCCCGTACTCTGCCCGGCCCAAATTCTGGCAGCCCACTTTGGGTAAAAAGTCGATCGTCTCGAACCTATGCGCCGTTGGGCCCTCAACTTGCTCGGTCGATATCTCGGCCCAACTCCAGATCATAAATTACCCTCTCACCCACCTAAAGCTAGTTCCCCGAACCTGAAAATGCGCATTGAATTCTCATTTATCCGGAAATGGTTTTGAGTAACCAAATACACAGTTTTATTCACTACACAACATTAAACATGAACCCAATTAAAAATATTAAAAATAAAGCTCGGGTCCCACATTAATTAATGCTCAAAGTTAGCAAAAAAATAAGGATTTTGCAAAGTCAGTTTCCAACAATTCCTCACATTAATGGAATTCACGAGAATGGACATGCAACAAGATGCAAACAAAGAAATAGTACATTAAGAAAATACACCAAATCGAGATAGATAGCTTTTAGTTTTGAACCTCCTCTAGTGAAAGCCTATCGGACTTACTGGCTAACCGATGGACGTGATGCCTTGAACTGTTCAGCTGTTTGTGTAAGCCAAGACAATAGATTACACATAGTGTATCCGCAGACACAGTTTGGTTCTTACGGTTGTGTTCATTTTGGCCTTGAACAATGCCTAGTAATGCATGAGTGTTCTAAAGAATTTAACCTTCTCAATTCTCACAAGACCGGCCTAATTCATACTCATATAGGTGATTTCTTATTAAGAGCATCCTACTATACCCTACTTGGATGTCCAAGCTATAAGAATCATTAAAAGCAAAGCTTATCCCACTAACGCTGCAGGTATCACTCTTCTTATCATAGAAATGGGTAAGAGTAAAACTTCTTAGTGATATGTGAAGTCATCCATAATTCGATTGTCCCTTTGAACCTAGATCTTAGGATCTCCAGTTAACTAGGTTAGGTTGCCATTATGGCGACTTTTAAGTAATAGGCTTTAATCATATTCCCTTCGATAAATGGTACACTTGCTCTCTGGCTAGCCCTTTAGTTAATGGATCTACAATGTTCTCCCTTGACCTTACATATTCTATGGAAATTATTCCATATGAGAGCAAATGTGTCACGACCCAAACCCACCCCTATGGGTTTTGCACCGTAACTAGCCAGTAATCCGTGATTACCGAAGGCCTGCTTAACAGTAAAAACAGTAATACAGAGTACAGGGGCTGGTAGAAGCCAAAACAATAATTAAAAGATGTCCAATGAGCTGTGACAGTCTGTATGCAAAAAGAATTTTCTGAACATATTCACATTTATAAGCAAAACAGTATGTACATACACACATCATATACAGACATTCAAGTTGGGGACCAAGTCCCTACCATAACAGTACAGTGCCAATCTCAACATTTATTACAGAACAGAGACAAAAAGGGAAATCTAAAACACCCCAAAACAGCCTTGGCTTGACGCACTCGGAACCTCGAAGTGAGGCACAATGGTTGGCTTTCACAAAACGGGAGCTTAGCCTGACGCTCCTAGCATCGGTCAGGTGCCTGGACACCTACATATATATATATAAACAGTGAGCTAAAGCCCAATGAATAACAATTATGTAAAGAGGTTAAGAATGAATGTCCTTTCAGTCAATAAGCAGTCATATCAGCCATTTAGAAACCATAGCAGTTATATATGGCACATCCGATAGCAAACAGTACAGTAGGTCTTAACAGACCGAACAGTCAGTTGATGGCCATCATAACAGTAAACAGTAGTGGTTTCAACATGGGAACTGACAGAGATCTCTGTGATAGTAGCAGTAACAGTATAGTAACAGTAAATTGCTATGGATGTCACGGATACAGTTTACAAATAGGACAAACATTCATTCAATAAGAAATATCATTACAGACAGCAGTACAGTTAATCATTCAGAAAATATTCATGATTGAACATATCTTTACAACATTGTTACTCACAGAGCACTGGGTTAATAGCAGCTAGTGAGCGTCCTCGGATGCCAACCCTATATAGTTACAGATCGAACACACACTAAGTTACACACTTGGGAATCAATGACTTAGTTCCTATCTTGACTCGGTGTGGTTCTACATCAATATCCTCATTAAGATGTATAGACACCCCATTTTTGACCGTCCTTAAGACTTGGACGTCATCGTTTGAACACTCGGTGATCATCCTTGTTCGTGTTCGTCTTGAGTTCCCGGAGGTCTCGGCTATGCGCCCTACCTCAGGATCTCTCGACTCGACTGTTTTGTGTCGGATTTTGT